ACAATAAAAATTTTTAATAAGCAAGAAACAGAAACATTACACACTAAGGATGAATAGCTACAAAACAACGATAGCTGATGTAGCACTCCTGGTAAAATATTGAATCATATTGCCCTGAGCTCAAGGATAAAACAAGGGTGTCCTTTATCACCATCTGCATTCCAAATTTTACTGGAGATTCTAGATGGCACAATAAGGCAAGGGAAATAAATAAAATGAACAAATGTTTTAAAGGAGGGTGTGAGTATCTCTACTCACAGACAGCATGATTGTCTACATAAAAAAATGAAAAACAATCTATTAAAACGAAAATTAATTTAGACAGGTCACTGCACAAGGGCAAAGTAGAAAAAATAAATGCATTCACTCTGCCTTTCACTTACACACACACACACACACGCACACACACCCTTGCACACCATATGCATACAAAAAGATGTATGAGGAGGGATGAAGTCCAATGCCAATAACATGGAGGAATCAGGGACATTGGTATAAAAAGGCTTTGAATCTTAGAAACCCTCCTGGGGTACACATCCAGTCTCAAGCACTAGTCTTCCATTCATCAACAAACTCCGTGCCCCAAAAACAGACAGGGAAAAGAAAGAGTAGAATATACATTTTTTCCGGTTCTCACAGAGCATTCACTAAGTTACATGATATTTTGGGCCATGACAAATCCTTAACATATTTAAAATAAGTTTCAAATAATCTTTCTTGTTCCACAACAGAATTAAACTAGAAATAAATAACAAAATATCTCAAAAATCTCTGAATACCAGTAAGTTAAATACCACATTTCTAAATATTTCATACTGAGTAAAAATAAAAATAAACATATGGCATATACAAATCCATGAGATAGACCTAAAGCAGTGTGTAGAAGGAAATTTATAACGATATGTTGCAAATACTTTGATTTTTTTGTAAGTGGTTAAACATTTAGGACTATCATCTTGAAGAACAGACTCTTTATCATTACGACTTAATATTCTTTATCTTTACTAATATTCCTTGCTCTGAAATTCACTTTGTATAATATTGAATATTATTACTTCAGCATAATTTAGTGTTAGAATACACCTTTTTTTATCCTTTCACTGCAGCATATTTTGTCTTCATATTTAAACATGTTGTCTGTGACAATATATAATTGGGAAAACCTGAAAATTTCTTTTAATTGGGGTTAATTGTAATTAACTTCTAATTTGTGATGATTGATATGGCTTAAAGATTTTCATCTTGTTATTTGTTTTCAACTTGTCTAAGTAGTCATTTGGGTATCTTTCTTTTTTTTTCTCTAACACATTTTAGATTCATCAAATATTTTGAAATTGGCCATTGTATCTCCTTTGATGATTTTCCAGTGCTAAATCTTCATTTTGTTATTTTATTCATTGCTTTAGTATTTATAGTATGCCTCTTTATCTTCCATTTTCAAGTGATATTACAGCATTTCATGTATAAAAAACTTTCAATACATTTCAAAAATTACAATTCATTTCTAAGTTTCTTTTTGGCCTGAATCATAGCTTTATTCCATACCCAATTTTACTTATGTTAAAGTCTCCCAATACATCGTTGTTATTTTCTTCAAATAGCAAATTATCTTTAAATATATTTAAATGAGAAAAAATTATATTTACTAATGTTTTTATTTTTGAAGCACATCTTTACTCCACATAGATCTATATTTCTTACTCATGTAATTATTGTTCCTTTGCTATTTCTTATATTGTGGGCCTTCTGGTAATGAACTGTGTCAGAGCGTGAATAACTAAAAAAGACGTTATTTTGTCTTCACTCCTGAAATATGGTTTTTGCCAAGTATTGAACTCTAGTTTGACACGATTATTTTTCCTTTTAATTCTTTAATGATGTTAATTAAATGTCTTTCCACTGGCATTTTTATTGAGGAAAAACTTTTGTCACATTTTCCTCTGTTCCTTTATACATGTGCTCCACTTACCCCACAGCTGCTTTAAAATTTGCTAATTATTACTGATTTAGGGCAATATGTGTAAGATGTACCTTAATATAATCTGAAGACAGTCTATTTATTTCTGATTCTTGTGCTTAGAGTCTGATTGAGCTTCTTAGATCTCTGAATTTATACTTTTCATCTAATTTGGACAATTCCAAGTGCTGCTGAATATGCAAAAGAAAGAGCTAGAACTTTCACAGATTGCAGAAGAGAAAACCAAATTCTACAGCCTTTGGTAAAACAGCTTGAGATTGGCAGTTTTGTTTGTTTGTTTGTTTTTTAACAAAATTAATCATATACTTACCAAACAAATTAACAATGTTAATATTAGGTATTTATACAAGTGTTTTGGAAAGTTATTTTCACACAAAAATGTGCATACAAACGTCATAAGAGAAAATCCAGGAAATATACAAGATGCCCTTTAACTAGGAATGAAAACATTTAATAACATTCAAAACCCTTTTGTGGAAAAGTTGACATTAAACAAAAATAAAAAGAAACCTATTTTTACCTATAACAGATATCTACAAAAACATCTACAGCCGTGTTAAGGCAAACTAAGGCAAACTACTAAACACTTTCTGAAGCTAGGTAGAAGACAAGATTTCCATTCACTGCAACTGGCATACAATATCTTACTCAAGGTCCTAGCCATTGAATAAAGTAAGAGAAATAAAATAAAAGGGAGAGTTATTGAAAACAAAGAAGATGGTCTTTATTCACAGAACACGTAATTGTTTGCAATGAAAATTCAAGAGAATTTGAATAAAACTAGAATATATGAATTTATAAAAAATAATATGTGCAGGTAAGTGCAGTACATAATATTGATTTTATTTCTATTACTAGCAAATAATTTTAAAATGAAGATTTTTTCTTTTTTATTATTTTTATTTAAGAGTTTATTTCAGCAAACAATGATTCATGAATCAAGCAGCACCTAGAACCAGAAGAGTTTCGGAGAGTACCACCCAGCAACAGGGGCAGGTAGCATTTACAGAAAAATAAATAAATAAAATGACATGCATAAACATCTTGGTTCGTCATAGCTTGGCATTTGCCTTCTATGGAAATAGTCTGATCAGCTGGTAGCCTGTGATTGGCTGAAGTTTGGCTGCTGTGACTGTATGGGACTCAGCTATTTTTTACAAGAATATATGCTTAAGTTAGGTTGCAGTTTATTAACATACTAAATTAGGTTTCAATTTGCTGTGTACAGAGGCAGCTTTAGGCCAAACTTATTTTTTTAACAAGTTGTTGTTGTTTATAATTTCAGTAGCTTTTAGGGTACAAGCAATTTTTGGCTACATAAATAAGTTATATAGGGGTGAAGTCTGAGATTTTTGTCTACCTGTCACCCTTGTAGTGTACATTGTACTGAATGTGTAGATTTTTTATCCCTCATTCCCCTCCCACTTGGCCCCCTTCTGAGTCTCCAATGTCCATTGTACCAATCTAAATGACTTTGCCTCCCCATAGCTTAGCTCCCACTCATGAGGGAGAATACACAGTACGTGGTTTTTCATTCCTGAATTACTTCACTTAGAATAATGGCCTCCAGCTCTACCCATGTTGCTGCAAAAGACATTATTTCATTCTTTTTATGGCTGAGTAGTATTTCACGGTGTACATATATACCACATTTTCTTAATCCACTCATTCGCTGATGGACAATCATAGGTTGGTTTCATATCTTTGCAATTGTGAATTGTGTTAAGATCAGCGTACAGGGCTCTTTTGCATATAATGACTTCTTTTCATTTGGGTAGATACCCAGTAGTGGACTGACGCATTGAATGGTATATCTATTTTTAGTTCTTTGAGAAATCTCCATATTATTTTCCATAGAGGATGCACTGATTTACATTTCCACTGACACTGTGTATTTCTTTTCTTTTTTTTTTTTTTTTTTTTTTTTTTTTTACCACATCCATGCCAGCATCTGTTGTTATTTCACTTTAATAATGAGCCATTCTGGCTTGGGTAAGATGCTAACTCATTGTGGCTTTAATTTGCATTTCCCTAATGGTTAGTGATGTTGAACGTTTTTTCACGTTTTTTGGCAATTTGTATATCTTCTTTTGAGAACTGTCTGTTCATGTCATGTGCCCACTTGTTGATGGGATTAATTAGTTTTTAGTTTTTTTTTCTTGCTGATTTGTCTGAGTTCCTTGTGGATTCTGGATATTAGTCCATTGTTTACACATATTTTGCAAACACTTTCTCTCATTCATTGGGTAGTCTTTTTACTCTGATGACTATTTGCTGTGCAGAAGTTTCTAAGTTTAATTAAATATCATTTATTTATGTTTGTTTTTGTTGTATTTGCTTTTAGGGCAGTAGTCATAAATTCTTCGCTTATGCCACTGTCTAGAAGTGTTTGTTTTTTTAAATAGGATTTCTTTTAGAATTTTTTAGGATTTTAAGTCTTAGATTTAAGTCTTTGATCCTTCTTGAGTTGATTTTTATAGATGGTGAGAGATAAGGATCCAGTTTTATTTTTCTACATGTGGCTATCCAGTTTTCCCAGCACTATTTATTGGATAGGGTGTCTTTTGCCCAATTTATTTTTTTTGTAGGATTTGTCGAAGATCAGTTGGTTGTAAGTATTTAGCTTTTTCTTTCAGATTCTCGATTCTGTTTTAACAAAGATATGGAGAATGAAAATGCATGCCACAAATGGAAACAGTGCATTTATAATTAATGAATTCTTAAAAATATTTATATAATGAACATACACAGAAATATTACCAATCAAAAAAGATAAATACAGTCCATTCACTTAAAATAAGATTAAAGGACAGGTACGGTGGCTCACACCTGTCATCCCAGCACTTTGGGAGGCCAAGGCAGGCAGACCACTTGAGGGCAGGAATTGAAAACCAGACTGGCCAACACGGTGAAACCCCATCTCCACTGAGAATACAGAAAAATTAGCTGGGCATGCTGGTACATGCCTGTAATCTCAACAACTTGAGTGAATGAGGAATGAGAATTATTTGAACCTAGGAAGTAAGGGTTGCAGTGAGCTGAGATTGCAAGACTGCACTCCAGTCTAGGCAGCAGAGCAAGATTCCACCTCAAAAAAAAAAAAAAAAAACATTAAAGTTTGAATAGAAATTCCCTAAAATGTACACCTAAGCAGCTAATTATATTATAAAACAGTATCAAGATCACTTGTATGTTATAAATACACATTTAATTCAAGAGATACAATCTCAAGAGAGAGTTGCTAAAATTGAAAATGTTTAAATAACCAGTCAAAATACGGATGTAATGCTACTGAAACCCTGATACTTTGAAAATAGGGGCAAAGAGTCAGTATATTCATTTTAAAAGACTGTGTGGCAGTTTTCTAGAGTAAAGCTAAACATATATAACAGTATTTGATGGTTAATTTTATATGTCAACTGGGCCACAGGGTGAAAGCACACTTGGTCATTGGGGATGCCTGTGAGGGTGTTTCCGGATGAGATTAAAATCTGAGTAGATGGACCGAGTAAAGCAAATTTCCTTCCCTAATGTTGATGGGCCTCACTCAATCGATTGAAGACCTGGATATAACAAAAAAGCTGGAGAAATGGGAACTCTTCCTGCCTGGCTGCTGTGAGCTGAGACATTGGTCTTTTCTGGCCTTTGGACTTCAATTGAAACATCAGTTCTTCTTGCGTCTCCAGCCTTCCAGCTTTTGGGCTGAAACATGCACCACTGGCTCTCCTTGTTTGCAGGTTTTCATATATAGGCTGGAACTACAAACAGGCTCTCCTGTCTGTCCAGCTTGTTAACTGAAGATTTTGAGACTTCTCACCCTCCATAATAATGTGATTTAATTCCTTATAATGCATATTTCTCTTTTATTTCTGTTTCTGTGAAGGGCCATGCATAATATATACACTGCTATCAAGACATGCAGTACTGCTGTAACAAACACCTTGACAGGCAAAGGCAGCTTTGGACCTGGGTAATGGGTAGAAGCTGGAAGAGCTTTGAGGTACATGCTAGAAATATGGACATTAAGGATAAATCTAGTGAGGTATTGGGGTAAAACCACCTTTGCAGAGATTATAGTGGTAACAGAAATCTAACATGGCTGACTCTATCTTGCTTCTAGCCTCACTGGCTGGCTGTCCTTGCTCATTCCTGGGCATAGGCCAGACTAACCATGGAAGGAATTTACTTTATAGTTGAACTTGGCAGCAAGCATAATTGCCCCTTCCTAAAAGTGATCCCCTCCTTGTTTAGTGGCTGAAACCACCTTCAGAAGACTAATGAAAGACGACAAGATTAGAATGATGGGAGGGAGATGAATTCTGATAAAACATAGTTTCTATAATCCCTTATTGCTCAGAAGCCATGTGACATTAACTAAACTCTTTCTTTACTGCAACACTATTGACTGAGTTAACTGGTTTTGTCTGTACAGCAGGCAGACAGATAAAGGGCATACTCATTTAGCATGGATGGAGGAAAAATGACAGAGGAGAAGATAAAGTCCAAATTATTGCACATAAGGCTGTGACTACTCCCAGGTTGATTACCCCTGGGGCTGAAAGAAAATTTGTTTGGTTGAGGAGAGAAGCAATTTCCCTCCTGCCTGTTGCTTACTAGGAAAGGAAGTAAAGGTACAAATAGTAGAAAGCCGGAGTAGCCGTCAGACGATGGTTAGGGCCTGAAGGTTAAAAGATAACCCCCCTACCGAGACTGGTGCTTGTGTTATCTACAACCTTGAGAATGAAACAAAGAAATGTTCCTCCCTCTTTTAGTCACCTACCCCACGCTTGCCCAATCCACTTCCCGTTAAAGTTGTATCTGTTACAAAATGATTAACTGCCTTTGTTCAACTTCTCCAAGTTTGCTGTGACACTTCCCCTTTCCTCCTTCCTGCGTGCACTAAATATGAATTAGTGAATCAATAAAAGACAAGACTGTAAGGTCAGATACCCAATGGGCTATGACACAGTTTTGCCTCCGCTCTCCTGCTTAATGTTACAAACCCTTAAAAAGGGAAAGGGGTTGCTCTTCCGGGAGCTTGGTTTCTGAGATGCAAGTCTGTTGAGGCTCCACAGCCGAATAAAGTCACTTCCTTCCTCACTCCGGTGTCTGAGAGGTTTTGTCTGCAACTTGTAATGCAACATGGTGAGGAGAACATGCTTAGGACTCTTTTTCCAACAAAGGTTGAGTAGGAAACTGGGTTTCCGAACTCTCCACCCCAGCAAGCTCCCAGTCCTCTGCCTTCCCTGTCTCCTGGTTCCTGTGTGCTTGCATTATTCTATGGTTGAAGTTCAGGTAAGTGATTCTGGAAAAGGAACATCAATGCCTGGAAAACAGTAAGCTGCTCGGAGTGTCACTTCTACTTATCAACTGAATATAGACATAGGCAATCCACATTTTTTAAGCCATTCACTTTGGGCCTATAGGCAAAATTTCCTCCAGATTGTCCAGACATTTAGAGGGCCTGATAATCCCCACAGGGTTTTCATTTTTGGTGTAAATATAGAAGATCTTGGGTAAGGCAGGCACGGACCATAGGCCAGTCTGTTTATACACTATGAAAAGCACACACAGCTTCTTTCACATTTATAAGGAGCATTGTAGCCCAGTGTCCAGCTAGAGTTGCGACAAGCAGGGCATTGGTGACCTTTACAGATGCTTTTGCTCGTTCACAAGAATTTGATCCAGGCCTGTCCGGTGCAGGAACTGTGAGTATGATGCAGATGCAAAGCTGATAAGCAGCAGGACCTTGCATTCGAGGCACGTGCAGTCGCGTAGGGGATGGAGAGGATAGTACACAGACGGGCAATGAGAGGAGGACATGGCAGAGCGGGACGCAAGAGCCCCCGCTTCCCACCCAGACAGTACCCGTGGATGGGGATCTCTGGACTTCAGACCCTGGCTTCTCAACAAAGATACATGAATCCATATAGAAGAAGCAGATCATGGTATAGACTTTTCAATCTCAAATACCAATTATGCCAATTGTGTCATTATTCTTGACAATTAGCAAATAGCTGCTTATATTCTCAACTGGAAATATTACTAATTAGAAGTTATAATATTCACATATTTATCAAATATATTCTAAAACCATTAAAATCCTTTGCTTGGAATATGAAAAATGTCTAGAAAATTTTGTTTTTAATGTGCACAAATAACAGAAGTTTTATAAGCAACACATTTACATTGTTTTGACAAAAAGAATGATAAGCACATGGTGATGGAGGCATTCCAAACATCCACCTTTGGAATATTCTCTCAATAGCATATTTCTGTCAAAAAGCCTTCACTTTTTACTCATTATTAAAATATTAACGTGTCATCATGTCTTTGGAGACTGAGCTAAATCTAAAGATGGTTCTCATAGGAAGGAGAAGTGTCAGTTCTGACATTTTGTTGGTTTTATTTGTGCTTCGTTATTACTATTACTACAATTTGTGGGCTATTTCCTTTAATATTTTTATGCCAAGATATTTATGGTATCAAGGATACTTTGACCTTCATAACTAGATTAAATGAAGACAATTGCATGCCAATTCAGATCAGTGTCAATGAATAAATTAAACATAAATGATGTTTATTGGCCGGGCGCGGTGGCTCACGCTTGTAATCCCAGCACTTTGGGAGGCCGAGGCGGGTGGATCACGAGGTCAAGAGATCGAGACCATCCTGGTCAACATGGTGAAACCCCGTCTCTACTAAAAATACAAAAAATCAGCTGGGCATGGTGGCACGTGCCTGTAATCCCAGCTACTCAGGAGGCTGAGGCAGGAGAATTGCCTGAACCCAGGAGGCGGAGGTTGCGGTGAGCCGAGATCGCGCCATTGCACTCCAGCCTGGGTAACAAGAGCGAAACTCCGTCTCAAAAAAAAAAAAAAAAAAGATGTTTATTTTGTTATTTCTTTAAATAAAATTAATATACACATATGTATATAGATTTTCTAATATTGTTTTGAATGCAGCTCTCATGCTGTTGGAGCAAGTTCCATTTGCTCCAAAAAAGCCCAAAGTCCCACAATTAAAAATATTGGATGAAGATAAGATCAACAATATGTATGTTGCATTATCTACCAAGGCAGTCATACTGTCATCTTTGGAAGAAGCTGCTACAGTGTTTTGAAGATGTCAGAAACAAAAATTGTTAACTTCCGTCCAAATTGTGATTCCAGTCTTTCTGACATCTATTTTCAAATGAACGGAGTGTCCTTTGGATAAATTGGAAAATAATGTGTTACAGGAAACAGTGGAAAGTACCTTAAATCCAGGATCATTGCTTGATCTAGTTGTTAGCAAAATAGTTAGTACAATGAAAGTAGGAGTTAACACACCATGTGAAGTAATTAACAGTAACACTAAGAAAAATGTTCTTACAGTCCCATGAATACTATGACTCGAATTAACCATATTTTTAGATATAAGTTTTTCAGAAAAAGGTAAACTATATGTGATTGGGTGTGAATCAAACAGTGAAATTCTGAAGAACTGTTGTAGGTCATGCAGGCTTTCAAAATGACCACACTGAAACAGCATAATTCATAAACCAGACACTGAGGAGTGAGAGGTAAGTTTCTGATGATGTTGGCTAGGTAATTCAGAAATATTTGGATCTTGCCAGTGGATAGAGAAAAAGTAAATGCTTTCTTCCTTTCCTCAAGGAGCTCACAGTTTAGTGGGACTAACAGACTTATACAGATCATTACATCGTATTGTGAGTCACATTCACCTCTCATGGTGAGAAAGTAATTTCAGATAACTCTTAACAGAGAAAGTGGTGTGAAACTTAAAAGATAATAGACACATTCACAGCAGAAATGGATATGACGGTGCTCTGAGTATGGATGTGGGGAAGGATAATTAAAGTTGTGTTGAAAACATTAAAAGAACATGATACATTCAGAAAATGGTGAGATATCTGGGGTGAGATATCTGGTGTGGTTGAAATATAAGTATTTATTTAAAGAGTATGGATAGATGGAATGAGAAAGATTGTTTGGAAGTGGACTGTGTGGATCCTTGTAGGTCAAACTAAGTAATCAAGACTTTCTAGTTATCCTACCTTATTCTACAGTCTCACTCTAGGAGAAGTCCCTGGGTTGATTGATAACAGGTATTTCGCATATACAATGGCCAATCATGATGCTTATCAAATGGTAGATCCTGCCTTTAATTAGCATTATGATTATGATTGACTTTCTGTCTAGTCCATGAATCTGGATTCGATTTTCTCTATTTATAAGCATTAGCTATATGGTCTACAAGAATATACAGATGTTGAAACACAGAGCAAAAATTTGATTCCTTCCTCTTTCTTAGCCACTTTTCTCAGACTCCCACCACTATGAGTTTCTGGATGGACATTCTGTACCAGCACTTCACTGAACCTTATCTGACCCTGACATCTGCTAAGCATCAGACACACATGTGTACATTTTAAAAAATTTACTAGCAGTGGTAAAGAACTCAAAATTATGTACCTTATTTTCTTATAAACTTACTAATACTGACTTCATAGCATTATTGTCAGAGTAAAATGAAGCTATGAGGAGCTCAGTGAATGGTAATCCCCAACACTGCCACACAGTTTTATGGATTTGTACAATGGCCTGCTGGGTTGCTTCCTCCGGGGTGGAGCAGTTGTGATATGCACAGTACTCATGCCACCTGTTTCTGAAAGCAGAAGTTTCACCAAAGTGGCATATTATATTCAGCACCTATTACATTTCTTTACAACTCTCAACAACTTCCTTGTGTTTGAAGGCTTTTCTCATCATCTTTCCAAGGGGTGAGCTACAAGTAGATCCACACAATATGAGCTGTGCCCCTGGCCAAGAGTAAGAAGGTAGCTAAACAGATTTTTGTGAATTTAGAATTTAGTCTGAATTGTACTCTCTTTTTAGGTAGATGGACCAGTCACCTGTATATTTGGGGGTCGCTTGTGACCACATTTTATGTTCAGTGTCTTAAAAAGCAGAAATGATCTATATACGGCTAGAATTAAAATACTATATGAAGCAAGCATAGAAATAAGAATACGATGACAACTTGGAATGTTTAGTGGGAATTTCAATTTCTCTTTCTAGGACTTGAAACTTAGCTGTATCCTTGCACCTTGAGATTCATGATTCAGCCATTATCTTCATATTTAGTCTCCTTCAGCTAAGTCAATGCACACATGCTTCTATTATTGAAAACGTAAAATGACTTTGATGGTACAAGAATGTTTATGTTTCCTATCAGAGACTCAAACTAAGTTTCTACTATTTTATACAGGGTCCTGTACTTCAGACACAGGCTTTCATTAAGTTAGTACTAATAACCATTTTCAGTAGCAACACTTTTTATATATAGTGTCCATTGATCCGCTAAATTCCAAAAATTGATTGCTCACTAAGTTAGGTATTGTGATTGAATAGTCATATACAGTTTTTTAAAGTTTTGTTTTTTTTTTAGCTATGGGCACTTAAAACCTATTTTATCTATGTTTCAGTTAGTCAGATTATTTGCCACCAAGATAATTAGTCAATAAAATAATAGTATTTACTCCTTTAGGATGGTATCTTAGTATAGCCACATTTCTGAGACCCAGTGTTCTGAAAAGAAATTCTGAATACAGGGCTAACAATAGTACCATCCATAACTTCTATGCTTGGATGACTCTTTAATAAATATTCTGGCAATATTTTATCTCAAATACCTGGCTTCAGAACAGAAGCATTAAACTAAAATGTGTTAGACTATTCCCTCATTGACATCCCTCTTCCTCACTACAACCAACAAATAGGGTTAAAACAGTAAAACAGAAATACAGAGAACAATAATGTTTTGAATATACATGTCAAACTGTGCATTCACTCTCTGTTTTTGGAAAGAAACAGATAATACTTCATAACTATATCATCTGAGACCCATCAGATCTCTCTTGTAGATCCCACTTGATTTTTCTGGCTTTTGATCATCACAATTTATTCCACTTGATTCTCACAATTTTATATCCTACTGTGTAGACTTCGATTGCCCA